GTGGTCCGCCTTCATCTTTTACCTGCCAAGGTCATTTCAGACAGGGGAACTCAATTTGTTTCTAAATTTTGGCGGGAATTGTTGTCTCTCATGGGGGTGGAGCAGGGGTTAAGCAGCGCTTACCATCCCGAGACCGACGGCCAGACAGAACGTCTTAATCAAACGTTAGAGCAATATTTGCGTTGTTTCACGAATTATCAACAATCTGATTGGTATGAATTGCTTCCTTTAGCTGAATATTGTTATAACAACACGTTTCACTCGTCCATTGGTATGTCTCCATTTAAAGCTGTGTTTGGATATGATAGCCCTCCTCTCCCCTTTCTGGACAGGTCGGGGGAGGACTCCACCCCCCCCTCTGATGCGGGCTCGTGGTGCAAATCATTACAATCTGCTTGGCCTCTCCTATGTCACACTCTTGATTCTGCTAAGGAGAAATACAAATCGCAAGCTGATAAACACAGGGCCAAAGAATGGGATGTCAAACCTGGAGATTCTGTGTATGTCTCCACAAAAAATATCAAGATGTTAAGACCCAGTAAAAAACTGGGTTGGAAATACATTGGCCCGTTCAAAGTTCGCAAAGTGTTGAATGATGTTGCTGTTGATGTAATTTTGCCTAAAAATCTGCAGTCTTTACATTCTGTATTCCATTTCAGTTTATTGAAAAAAGATACTGGTCAATGTAAATGGAGGGAAAGTAATGTTCAGCCACCTCCTATTTTGGTGGAAGGCCAGGAGCACTGGCTCACACATTTTTCGTCTCAGCTCAGGGAGGATGGCTCCAGAGCAAACTAATTGATGCAGTGGCCAAATCGCTCGCTCACAACTTTAATGCCGGTCGCTCACAGAGTAGAATTTTTGTTCACGAGACTCCACAGCTTAGAGGGAGCATTGCTTGCTGTGCCATATTCAGACTGGGTTCCTCACTGTTAAAAAATATTGACAATTGGGACAATACACCAGCACATGAAGCTGCTTTTATCCTGGGTCAGCTTGTTGCTCTATCAGGGTTGCTATTGTCTACTCTGACTGGCAGCAGCTCTCCAGGGTTTCAGGCGGAGGAGAACAACGTCTGGGTCCAGTGGTACCTTTAAAGCCAACAAAGTTTTACTCAAAGGGTAATCCTTCATGTGCGAAGCACACTTCCTCAGACAAATGGGAATACAAATTAGGATTAGGACAGACCGCAGCAAGGCGGGGGCAAAACTCAACAGCTCATAAATGCACCAGGATAGCATCCGGACACTTGGGAAAAGACCACTCCTGTTTAGGAGTCGTGGTGGAGCAAAAGAACCTGGTGGAAACGGTCCTAGAATTTCTTAGCTTCAGCTCAGTGTTAAGTGTAGGGCTGCCAAGTGGGGGCGGGTGGCGGGTAACCCCCCGCCTCGGAGGCCCGTTTCCCGCCGCCACGGAATCGGGCCCCGGGGGGAACTTTGCCCTGGTGTGCGTGTCACCTGGAGTGATGCAGGCACGCTGGGGGTGGGGCCACACCCTATGGTTTTTCCTTGTATGGCCGTGGCCCCGCCCCCAGCGTGCCTGCGTCACGTCCGGGTGACGCGCGCGCGCACACACACCCGACGCCGGGTGTGCTACTATTATGAATCGTAATGTAAATATCTGATATGCAGGATGTATTTTCATTGTTACAAATGGAACATAATCAAAGCATAGTGATCCCCCGCTGTGATTTGGTGAGACTTGGGAGCTCTGTCCTAAGACCATCGAAAATTTGTGTTTTTCGATGGTCTTAGGCGACCCCTGTGAAAGGGTTGTTTGACCCCCCAAACGGGTCACGACCCACAGGTTGAGAACCGCTGATTACTAAGAGATTATGTGAAAGACTCCTGCCCACACACCCCGGAGAGCTCTGTGAGAAACTGCTCTTGAGAGAACAGGTCTGAGAGAACTATGGCTTGCCCAAGGTCATCCAGCAGCTGCAAGTGGAGGAGTGGGGACTCAAACCCAGTTCTCCCAGATTAGAGTCCACGCACCTAACCACTGCACCGAACTGGACAGTTCTCACAATGGAGGGAAGCAAGCAGTGGGGTCCCACAAGAATCGATATTTGGGCTGGCACTACTTAATTTTTTCATAAATAATCTGGAACTAGGGGTGAGTAGTATATGCTGTTTTAAACTTTCATTTGCAGGCAGACGCTGCAAGCAACCATCAAGTCCTGGACTTCTTTAACACGGTTAAATCCATGGGAGGTAGGACCTCTTCTAAAAATCTGAGTTTCCCCAGCATTTACAAATTACTGGGTTTCAATAACCACAACTGCAGAAGCCGTTGACCAGGATGAAGGCAAGAACTTGGGTTGGGGGCTTAGCAGCGCTCTATGTAATTGTTGGTTTCTTGTCTTCCTGCATTCACGGAACTCGGCCAATTTCCACTCCCCCGTGGAGCTCGCTGGGTGACCTTGGGCCAGTCACTCTCCCTTAGCTTAAGCTACCTCACAGGGTTGTTGTGTTGATAAAATGGAGGAGAGGCAAAGGATGTAAGTCGCTTTGGCCTCCACTTGGGACGAAGGCGGAGTATGAATGAAGTAAATAAATAATAGCTTGAGAGAACCCTCTTTGTAGAATTTAACACTAATCATTCTTTGTGTGATTTCTCCTTATAGGCTCTTCAGAATGAATGGAACACCCGTGACTAGTGGAATATCCTCGAAGCCATGGCATTTGGACCGATGGGGCTTTTAAATTGGAGAACAGTACATGGATTTCCCCTTTACTCTTTTCTTCATGTTGAATGGGAAGAGCTGGACTTTGGACTGCTGAAGAAACGAAACACATCTCTGTCCAGTAAATGGCACCATTTTCTGTGCAATTCCTGTAAAATTCAAGAATGACCAGCAGAAGTTGCATTGAGCAAGGACTAATTAATTATTTGGCATATACTCCACCAGCCAAAACTACAGACATGACTCATCATCGTTCTGCTGTCTAATAGGAGTTACCCTCCGTAATGTGAATGTATTACATCTCTAATAATCAATGCTGGGAAATCCTGATAAAGAACTGGAACCCCACCCCAAAGGAAAGATGGTGACTTCAGTATATTATAGACACACACACACACCCCGGTGCCATACTGTGGACAGATTGTAAAGTACCTTGGTGAATTTAGTCCAGGGGAAACAATCGAAATGTTGTAAATTGTGGAATAGGATCACCAAGGACAGGATTACATGACAAACAACATGGTGTCGTTACCTGAACTGGACCCAGAGAAGGGGAAATTAGCTTATTATAAGGTTCCGAAAGGAATAACACAAAATCTTGTAGACTGTGTATAACAGAGAGGATCTCAGTAGTGATACCCCAAATTAAAATTACGGAGAGAGAGAGAGAGAGAGAGAGAGAGAGAGAGAGAGAGAGAGAATTTTATTGTATATAAAATAAAATTTAAAAAATTAAAAATATAAACTACTCTAAGTACCTGAGAACTGATTTCCCAAGCGCTCACACACACACACACATGAAACTGAGACTAGAGTGAGGATGAGGGGAAGAAACAAGCATAGGGAGGGAAGGAGGTTCAGAAGGGGGACTACTACCTGATCCAAGGTGTGTGAGAGGCTTGAGAATCGCGGGAAGTCCATGCAGCAGACGTCCAAGGTGGCAGAGCATTGAGGAGGAAAAGGGGAACTGAGAAGTGTACGGGGTATCCAGGTAGTGGGAGAACCTGGCACGTTTTCCACCCACTTGAGACCCCACTTTCCCAGGTCGGGATTGGTCCAAGATATGAAGTTTTTATTTGACTGGAGAGTTTGATGATAACTGCTGTGAAAACCTGGCAGGAAGATTAGGAAGGAAATACCTGACATTCCAAGGTAGGGTAGTTGTTGGATGGTCTGAGGGATCAGGCATGAATGATGGGTTTAAATGTCCTCTTGATGACTCCTCCTGGGTGGATCAGATGTTAGGCTGCCCTTATCAATGGATGGGTTGGATTCTGGATACTTAAGGGTTGCCCAGCAGCCTATAGCTGGAAAGGGTTCACATTGCCTTGATGAAGCCAAAGAGGAGGCGCAAAAGATATGGTTGTATTAGGCGTGCCTTGGAGCTGGGGGAATGTAAATGGTTTATGCATTCCAGTGGTACCCTGACTCTGTGCTGTGATGTGCTCTGGACACCAGTGGCTTTGCTTTCAATGCAAAGGAATCTGATCACAGTGGATTGAAATAATATCTGGTCTGAAAAGATGCTTAGCGAACAGGGTCCTAGTGGACAAATTTGGAGTCCGGTGGCACCTTTAAGACCAACTAAGTTTTCTTCAAGGCACGAGCTTTCGTGTGCATGCACCCTTTTTCAAATACATTGGAATGGTAAGGTTCAGATTTCTAGACAGAGGCTGAACAGCAAATTAACGTGTAACATGAACATGAAGGGCACCACTGGTAGAGTTTACATTCAAACGTTCACTGTCAGAACTATAGCACACCAAACCCTGATTTTAAACCGAGGGGGACCTTGGCTCTCCTCAGGATCCTGTTGGTTTCCAGCCTGCCCTTAGGCCATATGGCATTAATCTGAGTAGTAACCACCAGATCTGGAGCTGCGGTGGCTCAAGTGGTTAAGATGCTGAACTGCAGGCTGTGGAAGGTCAGTAGTTCAGCAGTTCGAGACCCAGGGTGCCGCATGACGGAGTGAGCTCCCATCTCTAGTTCCAGCTCCTGCCAACCTAGCAGTTTGAAAGCAAGAAATTGCAAGTAGATAAATAGGTACTACTTCAGTGGGAAGGTAACAGCGTTCCGTGCGCCTTGGTGTTTAGTCCCCAGTTTTGTCTTGGCCCCAGTTTTGTCTTGTTTCCTTGGCTGTGTGATTACTGGGAGGTCTGTTTTGTTTAGTCATCATGCTGGCCACATGACCACGGAAACGTCTTCGGACAGCGCTGGCTCTTCGGCTTTGAAACAGAGATGAGCAGCGCAACCCTAGAGTCAAATTCGACTGGCTTTCGAGCAAGGGGAACCTTTACCTTTACCTTTACCCACCAGATAGGGCCTGGAGATCTCCCCGAATTATAACTGATTTCCAGACTAGAGGTCAGTTCCCCTGAAGAAATCTGGCTGCTTTGTTATGGCAACATACCCTGCTTGAGGTGCCTTCCCTTCCCAAACCCCACCCTCCGCAGCCTGTATCCCCAAATCTTCAAGAATTTCCCAAACCAAATCTGGCAACCTGAGCCCATTCCAGCCCAAGTACACGCCTGCATTTCATGGAATTTATTTACACACAGGGGGCAGCATCGTTGGTTCACACTTTCTTGTCCGTAACTTTATCCCTGTTCACTTGTTAAATAGTGGGTTCCATGGATGAACAGACCACAAGCCTAGTGATCAGTTCTACTTTATTAGTGATTTCAGCAAGCACAAGACAAGACTCCGGAGCCTCGGCTCTATTAAATAGCATGCAATTGCCACACCCAAACACACCCCACTCCCAGTGATAGGCTATTTACATAACATTACTACTAGATTGGTTACTTTCAGAATCCTGGCAGGCTATTGTTCTTATGCTCCAAACTCAGCCAGTCTCTGGGGTAATTCAATCAGGGATTATTCAATCCCAATACATAACACCACTTATTTACTGTATATACTTAATGGCTACAAAGAGGATGAGATATCCGGATTTGAATGTTGCTTGTTTCAAGTTGTGGGACTTTTCCTCAGCCGAGAATCAATGGTAGACAAATATCCAAAGAGGGGGAAAGCAGGCACACTATGATCCGCTCTTCTATGTGATAAACTTCTCTTCTGGATATCTTATCCTTTTTGGACTCCTTGGATAGAAATCTCTTTGGATTCTACACAGACATTTGTTTGTATTGAACTTATAGGGTTTTCCATTTGGACTGGACTTATATCGTTTTCCATTTAGCAATTAAAATATGTAACCTGATAAGTGAATGTGTTAAAAAGTAAGAATATTATATGAAAAATAAGGAAACGTAACTTGTTTGATAACTTTATTTTTTGTGCACCGTATCACAGTTTCTTGTTCTCAGTGGCCTGTGTTTCATTGGCTGTGATTCCTCTGTCTTGGTATACTTGCTGGCTGGCAGCTATGCATGTGAACTGACTCCACCGAAAAGCATTGAGTTTGAGAAAGTGTATTTATGACAGTCCATTCACACATGGAAGTTATCACTTGATCTTGCAGTTATCAGTGAGGAACATGCATGTGTGAATAAGTCCATAGTGAATATGAAGAGTGAAAGAGGGTGGTTAGGAGATGATCTCGAGCATACGGAGGGGGAGGGTAGAGCATTGGCTTGGCATGTAAAATATCCCAAGTGGTAGAGCAGTGGTAGAGCATTGGCTTGGCATGCAAAACATCCCAAATTCTACCCCTAGTATCTTCAGTTAAAAGGATCAGGTAGTATAATGAACACTCCCTAGCCTGAACTCTCTCTAAAAGCTAAAATGACTAAACTGAGGCTGTTGTACTTTGGTCACATTATGAGAAGATAAGAGTTGCTGGAAAAGACAATCCTGCTAGGAAAAGTTGAAGGCAGCAGGAAAAGAGGAAGACCCAAGATGAGATGGATTGACTCAGTCAAGGAAGCCAAAGCTCTCAGTTTGCAAGACCTGAGCAAGGCTGTTAACGATAGGACATTTCGGAGGTCATTAATGCACAGGGTCACCATAAGTTGGAAACGAGTTAACGGCACTTAACACAAACGAACACAGTACAGTGAGAGACTTTGACCTGAAACCCTGAAGAGCTGTTGCAACTCAGAGTAGATTAATTAATTTGGATAAACCAATGGGGTGACTCTATAACTTCCCATGGGGAGGGGGGGATGATGAGGGATAAAACACATAGTTCAGGTCCAAAGATGGAGAGCATTTAAAAAGTAAGATGGGGTTTGGAATAGGAACAGGTAGCATTTCATTTTGACTTGAGGGGAGAGGGTAATGACTTTAACATGTATAAACTTGTTTTGGATTCATCTGCTGAAATGAAAGGTGCTATTTTGAACTGTTGGGTTTGCATCTGGATACTGTAGGGTCCTTGATGGTTTCCTTCTTGCTGTACAAGTCACCTCTGACCCTGAAGATTTAGATGGCTCTGTAAGCATTTGGGTTAAGTGATGAGTTTCTGAGCTTTTTTTTTTTTAAAAAAAATAATAATTCTGAGCACATGCAATATGCATTTCTTTAAACAATGCATGACCACAACCCATTCATCGTACTTGGGATCAAGAAGGGCTTGCAGTTCAGAGAGTGCATTTTAATAGGCTCCCCTTCTAAGAATTAACCCCTGCAGCAGCACAATAGCAAAAAATAAAAAAGCAATGTTTTTAGAATTAACCTTTTTGTCCTATCATCACCAAATACTTTGGCAGAAGGATTTTTTGCAGTCTTTCGATACTTCTCTGCACATGATTTTAAGGAGAGATGTAGTTCTGTTCTTTTTCTAATGCCAGTGGAGGATCAGTATCCTAGTCCATGCAAACTACCTCTGCATTTCCAACCAGTGGAGCAGATGGTTGCTATTAGATTCCCCCCCCCCCAATATGGATTTTCTTCCTCCACCCCCTTCCTCACTTTCCATTTGTTTTGCCTTTGGCAATTTCATTTTTGTGAGGTCTGAAATAGTGACTTTTATAAAATGTGAATGTGTTTTTTCTCTGTTGGCAGAGGTTTGTCGTATGTCTTTAATGGAAATTTTACAAAATCTGACCACCTTTCCCTCCTTAAATTTTGGGAGGTTTGGTATGGGGTCTTGTTTATTTTTAAAATGAAAAAATTAATAAAATCTAAGGGCATTGCCTTCATTTTAGGGGAGGATTGGACTATGGCCTTTTTTATAATGGAAGTTTTATAGCATTTCAAAGCCTTTCAACCCCCTAATTTTGGGGGATTTTTTTTTTTTTGGGGGGAATAATACATTTGTATCCCATTACAAACCATACTACAGAACATTTTAAAAAATACATACAAAACCTCACAGTATCTTTACATTTTTAACAAATATAAACAAATATTGATATTCTTCAAATATAAAACATTTGTTGTTGTTGTTCAGTCGCACAGTCGAGTCCGACTCTTCGCGACCCCATGGACAATCTCCCGCCAGGCTCTCCTGTCTTCCGCCGTCCTCCGAAGTTGGCTCAATTTCATGTTCGTTGCATCGCTGACACTGTCTAACCATCTCATCCTTTGCCGTCCCTGTCTTCTTTGACCTTCAATCTTTCCCAGCATCAGGGTCTTTTCCAGTGAGTGCTCCCTTCTCATTTGGTGGCCAAAGTATTTGAGCTTCAGTTTCATTATCTGGCCTTCCAGGGAACAGTCAGGGTTGATTTCTTT